CATAATAACACGAAGGCATTGTTTCTCTTTTTCACAATGTTGACATTTGCACCCCTCATGTGTAAAACTGATGACATGCTTGCATGAGTCAAGGCAGTGGCAATAATCGGTGCTAGTAACTGTATGTATCCATCATCATCATGCACTTGACAAAAACAAAACCAAAAAACCAGTCCAACTTAAAATATCATTAGTGAAGCAGTAAAAATTAGCTTTATAAAGCCCCACCCTTGAGCACATCTTTTTAATATTCTCTGTGACAAAATGGTAAGTATGTATAAAGCAAGTCTTCATATTAAGTACAATAGTTGTCTAAAAAAGCACAAGTGATGAGTTACGAGCTGAATTAGTACATTTCTCATGGAAAGCCACTTTTAGTAGAAAGAACAATGAACAAATGTCATTTTGAGTCAGGTGAATTGGTGAACATTTTCTCAAAAATGAAATGAGCCTATCACTGTAGAATAAAGTTTGTTGCCAGTGATAAGATGAGAGCTTTTAAATGGGAATTCAAATTTTGTTAAAGTTTGTTAAGTCTCTGTAAACTTATCTTCTTAATCTTAGATTTTTCTGATGAGATTAGTGAATTAATACATGTGATTTTTAGTTTAATACAATGTATCAATATATGGAATATCTGTAATCCACAACACTGATACTTTACAAATTATCAATGCCCAACATTATTCAAAGTGCAAGAAAAACTAACAGAATTCAATGTAACAAGCATATAAAAAGCTGATGATATGGTTTCCAACCCATAATGCAACCCTTAAACTACCACTTGTCAATTTTTGGTGTATTATCAAAGAAAAATATCCACAATTAACTGAAGACTGTTAAGAAACTCCTTTTTTCAACTATATTGTTGTATGAGGCTGGCGCTTCTTTATGTACTTCTACCAAAACAACATACTGCAATAGATTAAATGTAGAAACAGGTATGAGAATCCAGCCATCTTCTATTAAGCCAGATATTAAAGTGCAAAATTGTAAGGGCTCCTGGATGGCTCAGTCCGCTAAGGATCAGACTGCTTCTCAGGTCATGATCTCATGACTTGTGGGTTTGAACCCTGTCTTCAGCTCAGAGCCTGGAACCTGCTTTGGATTCTGTCTGCCTTCCTCTCTGCCCCTCCCCCACTTGCTTGCATGCTCTCTCTCTCTCTCTCTCAAATATAAATAAACATGAGGCAAAACTAGAAAAACAGTGCCATCCTTCTTTTTGGATGGAAAATACAGTTTTTTAAAAAAATGTTATTTGTGTTAACATGCAATGGGCTTATTTTTAAGTGAATTAATAAACTTTTTTTTTTAATTCTTAGTTTTAGTTTCTACATAGCAGTCTGCATAAACAAAAGCTCTTTGAGGGCTTCAATCATTTTTAATAGTTTGAGTATTGAGACTAAAATGTTTAAAAGCACCAATGCTTTGGGGCGCCTGGGTGGCTTAGTCGGTTAAGCGTCCGACTTTCGCTTAGGTCATGATCTCGTGGTCCGTGGGTTCGAGCCCCGCGTCGGGCTCTGTGCTGACTGCCAGCTCAGAGCATGGAGCCTATTTCAGAGTCTGTGTCTCCCTCTCTCTGACCCTCCCCTGCTCACGCTGTCTCTCTCTCCTAGAAATAAATAAAAACCTTAAAAATTTCTTTAAAAAAAAAAAAAAGCACCAATGCTTTTACCAAAGCTCTGATTTCCTAGAACGTCTGTGCTTTAAAAGCAATTCTTCCTACTGCTGATTTTAAGAGGCTAGTCTCCTGTTTATCCCCAGGGTTCTACACTCATCATTCGGCTAGGCTAACTGTTGATGGACCATTTTCTTAAATGGATGTAGGACTCCATAAGGAACAGTTTATAGTGTAAACATAAACATGAAGTACTGAATTCTTTTCAGCAAGCATGCATATTTACATATTTTTCTGAAAACATTTTCTGAAGGTAAATGATCAATACATATAAAATTGGTCAATACCTGCTTTATTGCACCGCGTCTTAAAAAGGTCAAAAAAAGTTGGTCTCTCTTTGCATCCAAGAGGCATTTTTATCTACAATACTACTCCAGTGCTTGGTAAGTAACTGCAAAACACAACACCAAAATACACTTCACAGGGACGCAGACCTTAGGACTCTAAGGTACAATGAGAGCCAGGTAAACTTGCCTAAAGTTACATGGTTTATTTACCACAGTCCTATCTTTTGGGACGATAATCGAACTCACGGCGATGATGGGAGCATTCCGTCTGTGTGCTGTCCAATGCAGTCGCCACTGGCCACATTAAGCATTTAAAACGTGGGAAGCGCGATTCAAGTTCAGAATTTTAAATATTTACTTTTCACTAACTAGTCACGAGCGGCTAGGGGCTGCAAGTCAGTGAGAGATCAGTATCTTTCGACAACTTCAAATCAGTAAATCTTCGTAATACGGCAATTGCCTGAGGATTGAAGCAAGACGGATACAGCGCACCAGGAGCTGTAAAACAAGATTCCGTTAAAGTAACTTCATCGTATTTCCCAATTAAGGACATTACAGACTGGGACATCTGGGGCAGCTCAGGGGAAACCCTGGGCGGCTGGCGGGGCCCAAAGTTAGGAAGAGGAGTCCCAAGGGAGGGCCAGGGCTCGAGAATCCTCGGCGGAGAAGCCGAACCTTCGGCCCTTACGCGCAGTCGGGGCCAGGTCGGCCGCGGATCCCACCCCGGGAAGGAGAGGCGTTCCCCGGCCGCCTCTCACGGCGGAGGCCCGGCCAATCCGTCTCCACCCAGCCAACACTAACCGCCTCCGCCAGTGGAGCTCTTTTTGGCCGGAGAAGGCTGACAAAAAAGGCGCCGGCACCTCGATCAGAAAGCTGACCCGCAGGCTCCTGCGCGCGGCGACCCACCGTTCTGACAACAAGCAGGGCGCGGAGTCCCAGCAGCTCCGCCTCCGTCGCCGCTGTTTCAGACGCTCGCGCCAAAAGCCCGCTCTCCGGATACGTCACGCGGTGACGCCATGACGCGCACGTACGTGCGCGCCACCCGGAAGTCAGGCTCTGGAGCGTCTGTGTGGCGAAAGCCGAGTTCTGGTTCCGCTGCTGAACGGCCTGTCTGGAACCACGTAAAGAGGGCGCTGGGGGGGCCTGTTGTCTTCTCCCTGAGACTTCAGAGCGCCAGGCCGCGCTGCCGGGGGCAGCCGCACGCGTTGTGTTCTCCGCGACTCCTCCTCCTTCTCTCTGCTCCGCCTCACGTTTGCGTGGCCGCTAGGGGGCACGGCCTGGGCTCTTTGAAAGACCTTTGCTCTCCCCTAAGAACGGGCGTCCCCCAAAGTGGCCGCCCTCGGAAACCCCCAGAGTGGTCCGTGGCTGCGGCTAACTGCCTTCCCGGCTGCGTGCTCTCCAGAGTGGAAAGGGCTGAGATTTGAAGCCAGAGGACTTTAGTTCCAGTCCCCGCGTTGCTCGTAGGTGGCAGGTTTCCAAGACCTCTTAAGCCTTGAAAAACTGAAACCACCTTAACTCTCTCCGGCGGGTATTCCGCTCTACAAGGCTTCCGTAGTATTCTTTACATTCTTACAGCGGCCAGTCATCCTGTTTTGTGCCTGTCTTCTCCCCAAGTCGCCTTGGAAGACTGGAATCTGTCCTCATCATTCACAGGCCCTGTGACCTGTGTAGCAGGATGCTTGATTACCGCTTGTTGTATAACCGAGATTGCAGCTAGATTTTGGGGTGAGAGCTGCTTATAGATCTTGCTGCTGTCACAAAGCTCTTGAGCAGTAAACAGCGAGAAACAAACCTTGGATCAAAAGGCTGGGCTCTTCGTGGTTACATATGTGTCATTTTACTGTGGTCCTATTCTTTTGTTCCAGCAGGAAGCCTTACCGATGCAGATAGCAAAGCTTCTGATCATCCAGGTCTAAATAGAGGAACACAGCTGTGATCCGTATCCAGGTCTAGTTAACGCTTACTGAACACTCATGAGTTACTCTGCTCTGTGCTTTATAGGTAATATCACATTTAATCTTATAATAATCCTATACATTGGTTAGTATTGTCACATGGGGAAACCAACCTAGTTTAGTGGCTTGCCTAGTAACAAGGCCCGGGTTTCACTTCAAGTCCCTTTAATTTCAGATACTTAACTATCCTGTGATTAAGTTTCCATTTACTCTCTGAATCAGAACAATTTGCTTTTTTCACCTTTTTGGGAGAGCGGTCCTCACTAAGAATGAATTAATGAGAGCTGTTGTCATGCAGTACAACCTTCTAAAGTACATTTTTCTGGTACCATATACACCCCACCCCTCACCCCAATAACTTTATTTTCCTTGCTTCTGTGGTACCAGGGTCTTTACATTCACTGGCTCTACTGTGATATACTTCCATGTACTCTTCTAGTTTGCTACACAAATAACTTACTACTTGTATTTGATTTACTATGTGCTTTAAAACAGGATTTATAAAATAGTCACTATAGGATACTTGAGTGACTTGCTAATGAAAGCATGTGTGTGAATAAGAAATCCAAGTGAAAAACAGCTTTGAAAAAAGATTCTGGGGGCGCCTGGGTGGCTGAGTCGGTTAAGTGGCCGACTTCGGCTCAGGTTATGATCTCACAGTTCGTGGGTTCAAGCTAGCTGTGCTGACAGCTAGCTCAGAGCCTGGAGCCTGTTTCAGATTCTGTGTCTCCCTCTCTCTCTGACCCTTCCCTGTTCAAGCTGTCTCTCTTTCTCTCTTCTCTCTCTCTCAGAAATAAATAAAACATTTAAAAAATTTAAAAAAAAAAGAAAACAGATTCTGGAAGAGTTAATTGAAGAGATAGGAAGGGCAATTAGGTCAGGTGGAAATGAGACCTCTGTAGATGGGTAGATCTCCCATCCTTTAATTAGGGTAATAAGCAGCAGCTCCCATCAGAATCCGCAATAAATTGAGAAGCTTGAAATGGACCTAAACTAACCTGATCTGGAAAAGAAGGGAAGGAAGGCAAAACAAGGAGACCACACTGGGATTTGCGCTGTGCTTGCGGGGTGGGTGAGCAGATGGAACGCTTTGTCCGTGTTCCCTATGGCTCATACCAGGGCTATGGGAATACAATGCCTTTGGGCCAGCCAGGACTCTATGAGCACAGACAGCCTGAATGGAGGCGAAACACTGGTTCCCCCACTTTCCTGGCCAGGACTGGGTTGGTGGTGCCCTCAAATGCCTCTGAGTACTGCATGGACCCTTCTAAGAGGGAGCGGCTTATGGCCATTCTCTCCCAGATGAACCCCACCCTGCGACTTTGCAAGGCCAACACCAGGGAGGTGGGCGTGCAGGTGAGCCCACGGGTGGACAAGTCCGTGCAGTGCTCGCTGGGTTCTCACACCTTGCACAGACACTCCCCGTGGGGCAGCACAGGCCACAAGTTACCCCTGCTGGCCTGGGGAATCTATTCACCAGCGATAGGTCGCAGGAACTTGATCCAGCTGCAGAAGGAGGGGGAAGAGCAGGAGACAAAGGCACTTTTGGATCCTGCAGAGGCCAGCCAGCAGCAGCAGCAGTCACCACCAATGCCAACGTCTGAAGAGGACACACAGGAGGAGCTTAGGCATCCTGAGTTGGGGGAGGAAGATGAAGCAGACACAGAGAGTCGGCAGAGCAGATCTGCTCAGAAAACCCAACTTCCAGGTGAACTTTCTCCTCCCTGTCCTCAGTCCTCTGCTAGCCTCACCCTGTCTTTGCTCTTTTCTTTTCCATTTCTGGGGCAACAGAGAAAAATCTTTCACTTTCTTCTTATACTTGATGGAGGAGAGGTGGTTCTGATAATGTGATTTAAATGGCCTATATGTTTTGTAACTTTTTGGTAAAATAGGGTGGTCACTTTAAGCGTGTGAAAACCAGAAGTCTGGCAACCATTGCTATTGGGTATGAGATAAAATGGGGTTTCAGGTCTGTCAAATATGTGACCAGATTTTCTTTTGGGGGAGATTGTGCTGATGGGATTGTTGAAAGAACATTAGAAAAGTTTGAGAGGAGAAATAGGAATCCCAGAGTAATCCCTGAGAGATGAAATGCTACATTTTCATAGTAGCCTTGAGGAGAGCTATGAATGGGGTTAAGGAAGCTTTTTGTTCTTTTTTTCTCTTTCTTGTTTATTCATTTAACTTGAGAGAGCATGCAAGCAGGAGAAGGGCAGAGGGAGAGAGAGAGAGAGAGAGAGAATCCCAGGCAGGTTCTGGCACGGTGAGTATGGAACCGGATGCAGGACTTGGTCTCACAAACTGTGAGATCATGACCTGAGCCGAAATCAAGAGCTGGATGCTGACTGAGTCACCCAGGTGCCCAGGCTTTTTGTTTTTTATACAAAACCATAAGGAAAGAGGATCTGGCTTTCCCCCCAAAGATTGCAAAAGACTTTTTCCCCTTATCTGCAGTTTTTGGACCCCAAATATGGCTATTTTCACTGTAAAGATTGTAAGACCAGATGGGAGAGTGCTTGTGTGTGGTGCATTTCCAGAACTAACAAGGTAAGTAAAAGTGGGGCATGGAGGAGGATGGGGCAGATACAGATGTTAAACAGAGAGTTTCCTAATGGAGCATGACCATAATGCTGTCTCATTCATTTGGCACCGTTTGTGCCAGGGAATTCATAGATACTTAGTTGATATTTGAACCGAACTGAATTGGACTGTCCACATGAACACTTGAGGCTCTCAAAATTGATGTTAAATTTGGTTTGGTAGTTCTGTGGAACAAAATTTCAGATTATTTAGGGGAACTCTTGTGTACAATGGAACTATCTGTAATCCTTTTTTAGTTGGTATATTTGAACCTGTTTTTAGACCTTAGTTCTAGGAAATTTCCACAGTTTGTCCACAAGGTGGAGCAATAAGAGAAATAATTCATTGTGAAGGTTGGACTGGGAGAGACTTCTTCAGGCTAAGCAGTTTTCATCCTTAATTTGAATTCACTGTCAACATATTAAGATTGGGAAAGACTTTATGATCTGCCTTTCCAGTTCCCCTGATTCGACTCTGGTCACTATAGACTCTATGAAAACAGTAGGCTGGGCTCAGTGGTTTCTATCTCCTTTGCTGGGGCATGGGCCCTTCATTTTGGAATAGTCTACACCTGGCTATTTCATTCACTTCAACAAGCATTTGAGTCGGAGTCCTTCGGCTTTCACATTTGAGGTGCTGCTTTGTGGCTCAAGGCCCATAAGGAGGCGTGCTAAGACCTGAATGAAAACTTTACTTTTCATATTAGCCATTTACTAGACGCTAGAAGCAAATAGATTTTTAAACTATTCTAAAATTACTTCCCTCTTTTGCCAGAAGAAAAACAATGGGTTTCATTAACATACTCCAAGACGCTAGGATAAATGGAACAAGACCTAGAACTCCTCCTTAAGAAATTTATTCTCCTAGGAGATAAGATGCAACATGGTGATAGACACAGTGGCATCTGTGGCCTGGAAGTGGTGCAGAAATAACACAGGAGGTAACCGTGTAGGACATCATGCTGTCCAGGCAGGATAAGTAGGATAAGTAGGAATAGTTCACCAACTAAAGCAAGGAGAAAATGTGGGGAAATAATGAGAAAATGAAAAACTACAGGCTAATAGACTAAGACAGAAGGCAAAGGTCAAGGGTTCAGCCCATGCAATGAGTAAAATTATAATAACTACTTCCCACGGAAGATTTTAACTATGGTACTTTGTGTCCAATATTGGTTTGTTGTCAGAATTATAGAAAAAGCAAGTGGTAGTATCTTGATTTTACAGGTGAGGAAAATGAGGTTCAAAGTGTGAGGAAAAAGGGACTGATAGCACCACTTAAGAGCTTGGGTGAAAGTAGGGCACAGAGTGGGGAATAGATTACTTAATTTAAGAACTGGGAGCCCGAGGTACATATAATCTGTGTGTGTGTGTGTTTAAAATACCCTTATTTCTCTTTAGGTTTATTTCAAACACCTGTGTTCCAAATGCCAAAAGAGTGTTAACCCTTATCGAGTATAAGCAGTCCAATATCAGGTAAGCATGTAGAGAACTTTGAGTCTATAATGTTGCCGTTGTTAAGTAAGAACCTTCTGTGGCAAAATGTTAGAATCTGATAGAACTGGGTATTTCCATAGGAGTGTTAAGTTCTCTATGCTTTGACTTTTTATAACATTCTGGAAAAAAGTTCTGGATTTTGGGGAGTGTAGGAGAGGAGACATATTGACTCTTTTATGTTGCTTTATTTAATTTTTAAAATTTATTTTTAATTTATTTTTTCTTTAAAAAAATCTTTTATATTGTATTTTATATATGGGCCTCGTGTGTGGGTTATCAATCACCCTTTGTGTAGTTTGGATGTAGTAATGTTTTTCTAAGCTTTAATTTTAATTCCAGTTAGTTAATATACAGTGTCATATTTTCAGGTGTACAACATAGTGTTTCAACAAACACATATGGATGTAGTAACTTAATAGGGAACCTGTATCAAGCTTTTACTATGTGCCAAACTTTGGGCTAAGTGCTTTGCATACATGATCTCCTGGAATCTAAGCTTTGAGGTAGGTGTTATGCCCATGGTACAGACTAGAAGGCTTAAAGTTCATTAAGAAAATAAATTATCAAGTTTAAGGTAAGTAATCAATATTAGAACTGTGATCATATTGGATGATGTCTCCAGGGTCTAGGAAGTCACATAATTAGATCTTCTCCAAAACACCTTGCAGGAGACCTCTTTTTAAACTTTTCAGAGAAGTGTGACATAATTGGTTTTCATAACCGAGACTTTTTTCAGAAGTCTCAATCCTTCACTTAGTTAAAAATACTCTTTCTTGTCCTACTTAGGAATAAATATTTAAAAAACTAGCCTAAGAGTTTATGAATGATTTACCTTTAGATGTTCTAGTTGGACATTCTCATTTAATCTCTTTATGTTTAACATAATTTACATTTAAAAATATTTTCTTATATTCCTCTTGTGTTCAGTTGAAATGACTTCTTCAAAATAAAAAAATAACTCCCCATCTCTACTGGTAGTTATTCATGGGTTGTTTATTCTTCTGGCAGTTACCTTAGACACTGAAACATGATTCTTTGACCTATCAACATCTGCATAAATCATTAATATTACCTCTCCTTGACAACACAATGAACTTATAACACTCTAACCCCGCTTATCTTTTCCTAACTTATAAACTAGTGTTATATATTTTAATTTTAAACTTCATAAGACATGATTTTACATAGTCATTCATTTAACTTTAGCTATGTATATTTCCTCTCTGCTGCTCTTTGTTCCTTTTTGTATCTGGGACCACTTTCCTTTTACCTAAAGAATATGTCTTAATATTTACTGTAGTGCAGGTCTGAAGGTGACACATCCTCTTTTGCCTGGATGATGTTTTAAAGGATAATTTTGCTGGGTATAGAATTTTTACGTTGGCAGTAGTTTTCTTTCTGCCCTTTATGGGTCCGACCTTTATTGTTTTTGAAGTTGGCTATTAGTATTACTGCAGCTCTTTTGAAGTAATATCTATCACTTTCTCTCCTTCCTAAATCTACTTGCTTTTAAGATCTTTCTCTCTGCTTTGCTTTTCAGTAGTTGTACAATTATATGCCTACTTGTGGTTTCTTTGTATTTATCCTGCTTGTGATTGAAGCATTTCTTGAATCTATAGCTTGAAGATTTTTATCTCTTGGAAAATTAGCAATTATAATCTTCTAAAATATTATTTATGCCCTATTATCTCTTTTCCAGGGACTCATATTAGACCTTTTACCATATCCCTTATGCCTTTTATGTTCTTTTCTGTATTTCCTATGCTTTTGTGTCTCCTTGCTCCAGTTTGGGTATCATCTACTAAATAAACTTAAATTTTTTTTTTAAATTTATTTTACAAAACCTCTGAGGTTCATGCTCTTTATCTCCCTTTTAGAAATGAAAACTTAGAGGGTAAATAGCTTCTCAAAGTTACAAGACAAAGAACGAAAGGACTTTGTCAGTAGGTCTATTTCACATTTGAAGCAACCAGTGGAATAGGACTACAAGATATGCCCTTGAAAAAGATCTATTAAAATGCTAAGAAACTTACACTAAAGGAAACCTATTTCACTTATGTCCCTCATAATCACTTGTCTCTTAGCACACACTTTTAAATGAAGAGGCCATAACATTACATTTTCAATATCTCCTCTCTGTTCACAAATTTCACTTACTCAATGCTGTGTGACGATCACACTTAAACAGAATTAGCTGAAGGTTTTGCCAAAATGTTGATGCTTCAAGATTTCATAAGAGAAAACAAGTATCAGCCAATGGGTATTTCACCCCATAATGCTCCGTCTCTCACTCTATCTTCATTTCTCTAATTCTTTCTTCAGCTATTTCCAATCTGCTATTAAATCCATCTGTTGAATTAAGTTATCCTATTTTCAGTGCTATCATTTTTGTCTTTAAAAAATGACTTACAGGGGCGCCTGGGTGGCTTAGTCGGTTAAGCGTCCGACTTTCGCTTAGGTCATGATCTCATGGTTTGTGGATTCGAGCCCCGCGTCGGGCTCTGTGCTGACTGCCAGCTCAGAGCCTGGAGCCTATTTCAGAGTCTGTGTCTCCCTCTCTCTCTGACCCTCCCCTACTCATGCTGTCTCTCTCTCTCCTAGAAATAAATACAAATAAAATAAAATTTTAAAAAATTTTAAAAAATGACTTACAGTTCTCTATTGAAAATATTAGTCTTTATTTCTTTGAACATAGTAAGCATAATCTTAAAATCTGTTTTCAATAACTCCATTAGCTTAATGGCCTATGGTTTTGTTGCTATCCTTGCCATTTTCCATGGTTTTCAAATTTGTTGTTCTGTCTCCTCATATACCTCCTATAGTTATTTTTGATTGAGTGTTGCCTATTAAATGTGAAGAATTATAGTGATAATTTGAGGCATAGGATAGTATGTTCCTTCACAGAAGATTTGTTTTGTTCCAGTGGGAAGATAGGACCATGAACAGTTTTAGATTGCTGTTTGTTAATCAGGGTTGAGCTGTTTTGAAACTGGGCTTCAGCATCTGTAAAACTGGTCAATTTTTGGTTCATCTTTATTCTTAGGTTGTAGCCTTTCAGGGTCCCAAAATAAAACCTGAACTGTTTAGCAAGTCTTTTCCATTTCGGCATGTTTAAGATGATCCCTCAGCTACATCAACTTGTCAGACTTCCTTTCAGCTTTCCACTGTCTTTCATCTTTTCCATAATTGGCAGACCTTTAGGGAGGAAATAGTCCCAAATGTCAGGCTCCCTTCCACTGCTGGGTTTCTTTCTCTAATGCTTTGATAATTCTCTAGTGCTTCAAATAGTTCTTTGTAAAAGTTACTTCCTTAGCTCAGCTTTTCTAATTCTCCTAAGCAGGTGGCTTGGTCAAAACTACCTACTCCACCATTGCCAGAAACAGAAACCTACCTTTAGAGTAAATCCTTTATCTATTTATCTATTTATTTATGCCTTTTCTTCCACAGTAAGAGTATTGTGAGGGTTAAATGAATTTATATCAAGTGCCTAGAATAGTGCATGCAGCAAACACTATGTGAGTATTAGCTACTAGAATTTTCTTATAAGGATGCATATTTGTCATTAGAAGGGTAGAAATTATCAATGTAGTACAACATTTCTTAAATAATCATTTAGACTTTCATCTATTTCCACAATATAAATTGTAAAGCTTAACTTCCTTTTTTTAGCTATGGTCCTATGCAGAAAATAGAGCAGTACTGATCAATTTTAAAGATTAACAGAGTTGAAAGGGTGGACAATGGCGATATACAGGTCTCCATGGGGTGTGATTTTAGAAAACAGAATGGGATAATGGTTAAGAACATTTTATAGTAAAGATGAAGCATTTCGGGAGCAAAAAGGGAATTAGCTTCCTCTAGAACACCTTCCTCCTAGTTGTGACAACCCAAAGCATCTCCAGAAATTGCCAGATGTCTGCTGGTGGGTACAGTACAGCTGGCTGAGACACTGCTCTAGTGTTTTCAAATATTCCAGCCTAGATCATCAAATCACTTAATACTGACTCACTGCCCCTCACCCCTACCTGGCTATAGATAGAAAAACCTATTTGTGAAGACATTCTATAAACTCTAACTTCTAAAACCTTTTTCTGACATTAGATCTTCTTGGTTGGCCTCCTCTCAAATGTCATCATTGCTCTTTGATCGCAACAAATGCATGGCATTTAATGGGATATGAGTGGTTCTGTACAACTTGGTCTAGGACTTCTCCTAGGATTCAAAGGAGTAGGAAGATATCAGGGATAGGGATGGTGGGGAGAAGTATTTGACTTGATGATATTTGAAACACTGATATAATTATTTAGTGTTCAAACTGCTCCTTGTTTTCTAAAGACCTGTTCCAAGTCTTGTTGTTCCTGTCATCAAAAGAAAAGATGCATTGATCTAAGGAAGCCGCACTGACAGAAACTGTGTGGCTGCTGCGAAGATGAGAGCTTCTCCTGTGACCATACTTACAGCTTTAAATCCACCATGTGACAGGCAGTATGACTCGTACAGGACACCCAGGCTTTCCTTGTAATTTATGGTACTGTTCCTTTTTTGCAGCTTAGATCTGACCTGGTATTGGAAAATGGACTAGGCTTTTGTACTTCTTGTAGGTTGTTTAACAATGTGGGTAGAATAAAATAAATGCGTGTAAAAGAGACCATGAAGTCACATTAATTGGTGATCCTGGGGTAAAAACATCCATATAGCACTGTGAAATGGTAGATACTGTCACTTATATGAAAGGAACAATGAAGGGGAACAATAGTCACTTGACAGACTTTTCTCAGCTGGTTGTTCTAAGCACTGGGAATATAGAGAAGATCAGGGGGCAAGGTCCTGGCTTTCAGTTACTCATAATAATTATAGCAAGTGCTTAAACAGCATTTATTATGTGCTATGGATTGTAACTCACCATAGCAGCCATATTAAGTAGAAACTATTATATCCTCTCTTAAGAGATGAGGAGAGGAAGGGGCGCCTGGGTGGCTCAGTCGGTTGAGTGTCCGACTTTGGCTCAGGTCATGATCTCACGGTTTGTGGGTTTGAGCCCCGCATCAGGCTCCATGCTGACAGCTAGCTCAGAGCCCGGAGCCTGCTTCACATTCTGTGTCTCCCTCTCTCTCTGATCCTCCCCTGCTCACACTGTCTCTCTCCCTCTCTCTCTCAGAAATAAAGAAAACATAACAAAAAAAAAAAAAGATGAGGAGAGGGAGCCACAGAGAGATCAAAGTGTAGAGCCAGGATTTGAAATCACATGGACTCCGACTTGCTCCAGAGCATTTATACACAGATACATTTTTTTCTCAGATTGAGATGTGGTAAGTGCCATGAAGGGAACGGTGCTATGACAGAGTGAGCTTTTAGGCAGGGTGGTTAGGATGAGGCAGCATGAGAATGGAGACCTGTGAGATAAGGAAGCTTAGAGAAAAGAAAATGGTTTTGATCCAAGGAAACAGAAAGAGCAAAGTCTCTGATCTGAGCAGGTGGGCCACATTTTTGGCATGTCCCAGGCATAGGAGCCTCTGAGGCTAATGTGGGACAGAAGCTGGAGAAGACAGGGCTCTGGTTACAATAAGTTCTTTTGGCCATAATCAAGCATATAGCAGCCCATGCAGAGAGAGAGAGAGAGAGAGAGAGAGAGAGAGAAGAGAGACCCTGAGTGTGAGCAGGGGAGGGGCAGAGAGAGAGAGGGAGACACAGAACCTGAGGCAGGCTCCAGGCTGTGAGATCATGGCCTGAGCTGAAGTCAGATGCCCAACTGACTGAGGCACCTAGGTGCCCCAGATTATTAAAATAACTCACTCTGTTTGGGGAAAACCAGGTAGAGTGGAAGGTGGGAGACCAGTTAGGAGATTAATGAATGCACAAGCAAAATGATGAGTCAGACAAGTGTGGTAGCCATGGAGATGGAGAGTAGTACATCAATTCAAGATAATGTTGGAATTATAAAGGATTGGAAGTGGGGAATGCAGAAATAAATGGCCTTCATTTTTCTATTTTTTTTAAAGTTAGAGAGCAGGAGCAGGGGAGGGGCAGAAGAAGAGGGAGAGAGAGAACCCAAGAAGCTCCTCCTTGTCAGTGCAGAGCCCTACACGGGGTTCAAACTCCTAAGCTATGAGATCATGGCCTGAGCTGAAACCAAGAGTTGGGTGTTCGCCTCCCTGAGCCATCCAGGCACCTGAAATAAAGGACTTTTAGATTTCTACTTTGAGCTATGGAATTGAGAGGTATACATTTAGGTAATAGGACTCCACAGCATGCCCCTAATTTCAAATCCTGGGTGTCGCAGATGCAAGATTATGGGCAAATTATGTGAATACCTTAAAGCTATGGCAGGTTCAGTTTCAGACCACCGCAATAACATGAGTAGCTCCATAAAGTGAGTCAAATGAATTTTTTTGGGTTTTAGCGCATATAAAAGTTTATATATGCTGTGATTTATACTGTAGTCTTTTAAGTGTGTGATACCATTACTAAAAAATGTACATGCCTTAATTAAAAACTACTTTATTGCTGAAAAGTGCTAAACATCATCTGAGCTTTCAGCAAGTTGTAATTTTTGCTGGTGGAGGGTACTGGCTTGATGTTGATGGCTGCTGACTGATCAGGGTCGAGCTTGCCTGCCGACTGACACCCTAAGGTGGTTGGGGTGGCTGTGGTAATTTCTTAAAATAAGACAATAATGAAGTTTGTCCCCTCCATTGACTTCCTTTCACAAATAGTTTCTCTGTAGCATGTGATACAGTTTGATAGCATTTTACCCACAGTAGAACTTCTTTGAAAATTGGGGTCAATCCTCTCAAACTACACAGCTGCTTTTATCAACGAGGTTGATGTGATATTCTAAATTCTTCATTGTCATTTCAACAATATTCACAGAATTTTCACCAGGAGTAGATTCTGTTACAAGAAACCATTTTTATTGGTCATCCATCAGAAGCAATTCCTCCTTCATTAAAGTTTTATCATGAGATTGCAGCAATTCAGTCACATCTTGAGGCTCCACTTTTAAGTCCAGTTCTCTTGTTATTTCCACCATATCTGTACTTCCTTCCTCCATTGAAGTCTTGGATCCCTCAAAGTCATCCATAAGGTTTGGAACCAACTTCTTCCAAACTTCTGGTAATGTTGGTATCTTCTTCTAAATCACAAATGTTCTTAATGGCATCTAGGATGGTGAATCCTTTTGAGAAGTTTTCCAATTTACTTTGCTAACATCAATCATTGCCAAGCAATACTCCATTGTGTATTTATACCACATCTTCTTTATCTGTCGTTGGGCATTTGCGCTCTTTCCATACTTAGGCTATTGTTGATAGTTCTGCTTTAAACATTGGAGTGTGTGTGCCCCTTTGAAACAGCACACCTGGATAAACACCCAGTAGTGCAATTGCTCGGTCATAGGGCAGTTCTATTTTTAACTTTTTGAGGAACCTCCATAGTGTTTTCCAGAATGTTTGCACCAGCTTGCATTTTCATCAGTGGTGCCAAAGAGATCCTTTTTCTCTGCATCCTCACCAACAGCTGTGTTGCCTGAGTTGTTAATTTTAGCCATTCTAACTGGTATGAGGTAATATCTCCTTGTGGTCTTAATTTGTATTTCCCTGATGATGAGTGATGGTGAGCAGTTTTTTCATGTGTCTGTCAGCCCTCTGGATGTCTTCTTTGGAGGTGTCTATGTCATCTGCCCATTTCTTCACATTGGATAATTTTTTTTGAGTCTGGTAAATTCTTTGTAGATTTTGGATACTAATCCTTTATCCAATATGTCATTTGCAAATATCTTCTCCCACTCCATTGTTGACTTTTAGTTTTGCTGATTGTTTCCTTTGCTGTACAGAAGCTTTTTATTTTGATGAGGTCCCAAGAGTTCATTTTTGCTTTGGTTTCCCTTGCCTCTGGAGATGTGTTGAGTAAGAAGTTGCTGAGGTCAAAGAGGTTTTTGCCTGCTTTGTCCTCTAGGATTTTGATGGCTTCCTGTCTTATGTTTAAGTCCTTTATCCATTTTGAGTTTATTTGTGTGTATGGTGTAAGACAATGGTCCAGGTTCATTCTTGTGCATGTCCCTGTCCACTTTCCCTAGCATCTTTTCCTGAAGAGATTGTCTTTATTCCACTGGATATTCTTTCCTCCTGTGTCAAAGGTTAGTTGGCCATATGTTTATGATTCATTTCTGGGTTCTCTATTCTGTTCCATTGATCAAAATGTCTGTTTCTGTGCCAATACCATATTGTCTTGATGATTACAGCTTTGTAATACATCTTGAAGTCTGAGATTGTGATGCCTGCAGCTTTGGTTTTCTTTTTTAGCATTGATTTGGCTATTTTGGGCCTTTTCTGGTTCCATACAACACATCACTAAACTTTTTTTTTTTTTACAAATAGTTTATTGTCAAATTAGTTTCCACATAACACTCAGTGCTCATCCCCACAAGTGCCCTCCTCCATGCCCATCCCCCCCTCCCCCCCACATCCATCAGTCCTCAGTTTTTGTCAGCATTCAAGAGTCTCTCATGGTTTACCTCTCTCCCTTTCCCCCACCATTTCCCCCCTTCTTCTCGCCTTGTTCCTCCATCAAGTTCCTCCTAATCCTCCTATACGTGCAAACATATGATATCTGTCCTTCTCTGCCTGACTTATTTCGCTCAGCATAACACCCTCAAGGTCCATCCACGTTGCTACACATGGCCAGATTTCATTGTTTCTCATTGCCATGTAGTATTCCATGGTATAGATAAACCACATCTTCTTGATCCATTCATCTGTTGATGGACACTTAGGCNCTATGCCTCAGCATTTCTGTATCCCTTGGGTAAATTCCTAGCAGTGCTATTGCTGGGTCCTAGGGGAGTTCTAGTGTTAGTTTCCTGAGGAACCTCCACACTGTTTTCCAGAGGGGCTGTACCAGTTTACATTCCCACCAACAGTGTAGGAGGGTGCCCGTTTCTCCACATCCTCGCCAGCATCTAGAGTTCTCTGATTTGCTCATTTTAGCCATTCTGACTGGCGTGAGGTGGTATCTCAGTGTGGTTTTGATTTGTATTTGCCTGATGAGGAGGGATGCTGAGCATCGTTTCATGTGTCTGTTGGCCATCTGGATGTCCTCTTTGGAGAAGTGTCTGTTCATATCTTCTGCCCATTTCTTCACTGGGTTGTTTGTTTTTCGGGTGCACATCACTAAACTTTTAATGAATCTACAGTCTACACATTGCTTAGAATTTAACATGTGACTGTCTGGGTATTATATGTAAATAATGAATAAATAAATAAGTAAAATTTTTCCAGATTTTAAGTCCGGCTGTTTGTAAGCACTCATGAAATTCAGTCCCTATGAGTTTCAAACCCAAATGCTATGGAGATTTCCCTTCCTCCAGCGGTCAGATCCCTGAAGTTTAGGTTCCCAATGAGTCTTCATCCTTCCTGTCCTCTTTGATGTGGCCTCTTCTCCACATTTAGTTGTGGAATTTGTTTGGTCAGTCTTTGGGTTCT